CAAACATCGAGTCGGAGTACTTGAGGCAGCACGTCTTCGAACTTTTGCCCAAAGTCTGGAAAACAATGATACATTCTTAAGAGATGGACGTGGTCTGAGTCTCTTGAATCCCAATGCTGACTTAATGAAGAAGCGGTCAATGAACGGTGAATTGAATCTGGGCTGCCACCGATCAATGAGGACATGCTCTTGCACCCACGCTTGTTTGTAGTCATCATGAACCGACAGACAAAGTGTAGAAAAGTCGAAATAACTGCCCAGCGAAGCCCAAATACGAATGGCCGGTTCAACTTGAACATATTGCTCACGGAGAACTTGCTTGAGTTTGGACTGACGGTTGAATTCACGCTTCGAAATAGTAATTGAGGTACTTCCCACATACATCCATCGGTCTCTTTGCTTGAACGATGAACGGGTACTCCAAGACACGGGAGCTTTCAAATAAACTGCACAAGGACTCTGAAACCGTGTGAACGTGTATTCAGACGGCGTAACTCCAGCTTTCTGCAATTTTTCAAGCAGCCGTTGCTCTGGCGAAGTACCCCTGGAGTAATGGAACAGTAGAATCAGATGACAAAAACCTTGCAACCAAATGGCCATCACTGTGTCCACATGCGGAATGAATTGAAGCACAAACGACATGAACTTGCCAATCTCTGTAATAAGAACATGTGCTGACCGAATCTCCTTTGCGGAGAATTGTTTGGAAGCAAGGCTGTGTGCAATTCAGACAACTTGAAAAGCTGCCGCTGCAATGCACGTAGAAAGACTCTTGATGCCCATCCTAGATGCAAAGGTCGCCGAGATCCCGAATTTGACTGCAAGTTCTTGCAGTTTGGCTTTCTCCTTGCCTCCATAGTTGATCTGCACAAGCTTGGAGACAGACACAATGTGCTCTTGAAATTCTGCAAAACGCTTGCCTAGGGGTCGTTTGAAACTCTGGATCCACTTGTCGACGTCCCCCTCTCCTGATCCCTTTAGTCGGGCTTTGTGATCGTTCAAGGCTTCAGCAGGAACACTGTCGATCTTACTCTTGAGGTCACTCTCCCAAGTCTTCGGTGGTGTCCCGGATTGTAGACAAGGAGCACTAGATTGCGAAGCAACCGGGAGCTGTGTTTTCGAAGCGGATTTCGTAGGGGTAACAGGAAGTCCTGCGGCTTGCAACTGTTCACGACGGCGTGAGCTCTTCCGAAACTTGAAGGAACTTCTGAGATTGGTCAACGCCTGTGGGCACCGGCATGTTGTCAAACATGAGCTGAACGATCTTGTCAACCAGCGGCTGAAACAGGACTGCACAATCCGTGTTCTTGTTAGGAATGATTGTAGATGGATTAGCGGCCTGAAAAAGTTGCGTAGCAACTGCATCGATGTCAACTTTGCGATCTCGAAGGTTCTTCGTCACTTGCGACATGAACACTGCTTCAGCAACTGTGGCAACTGGCACAACACTGAAAAACTTGCCATGACTTAATGCTCGCAGACGCCAATCTGAAACTCCATGGAACAGGAATTCCTGAACAGGAATGCTGAGTGGATCTTTTCCTGCGATCCCTTTCTTTCACGACCACGGGGTGGCTTCGATGTACTTACGAAAAGACAACCCATGAAGCACCGTTGAGTCATAATGATCACGATCTGACGCCCATCCATTCGGTAGTGCAGGAGCAAGACCAGGTCCTTGATGAAGTGGCATGGGAGTAGACGGCGATGATGAAGGTGCCGAAGAAAGTGGAGGCGGAGGTAGGGGAGGTGGCTGACTAGCAGGAGCAGAATTGGAGAAGTTGGGATCATTCCAACTTCCCGAGCTATACGGCTGATAGCGATGCTGACCCCACGATTGTTGGGATCTCCCGTACCCTGTGTTGGTGTCCCACTGTCCATTCCATGCCATGGTTTCAGAACTAGCGACAAAGCTAAGTCCACGGGATCGCTAAGGACACTTCGAATCAAAGAGCTCCGTAGTTGAACAAACCTGCTCAAGTTGTTCTCAAACTGCAGCACTTGCACATCGCTTGCACAACTCTTGCACCACACTTGCTCCTCTCTTGCACCTCTGACGCACACCCTTGCACTACCGCTGACACTTCACTTGCAGCACACTTGCATATCTCTTGCTGGCACATCTCACAATCTTAACTGGCATGTTTTCGACACGTGTATGCGTACATAGCAATTGACAACGGAAGAGACTTGAGAACGTGGCTGGTCAAAGCAGCATACGGCACTCAGACCTTCCAAAAGACAAGAAGCACTTCCGGGATGAAACATGAGGAGCGAAAGACCCATCTGCCATCTTTGGCACGGGCAACGTCACGAATGTAACTGCAGGAATGGTCACCCTCAACTCCTCCCATGGGGATCCTTGAATGGGGAGGCGTGAGGGACCCTTGACGATTAAAAGCAGATCCGAAAATGCACACCGGACGCTCACTCAGAATGCCACCGTACTTGGACGCTGCCTCTTGTGCTTGTTCTGCATCTGAAGTATGAGCCCTAGCATAGAAGGAAACTGGTGGGGACCACATGCTGTCACGAGCATCCCAATACGATGGTCGAATCGTTCCCTCAAGGAGGATAGAGGCAGCCCCGGCCACTGTTGTGTTGTGTGCAACAGGCGAACGAGCAATCCCTGCTGCAGAAGTATGCGACCTGACCATGGTCCTCTCAAAGTGGGTGAAGTGGATGCTCAAGCACTTGCACGAACTCGACAAAGAACGAAGCTCAACAGAGTGAATGTTTGCAGCTTGGTCGGCTGCAGCAATTGCCTGAGAGACATACTTCAATGCCGTCGAGTTGACAGACTGGGAAGGAAGACCTAACAGGCTCATCAGATAGTCCGCAGTGCTTTGCATCAAAGAGCTGGGGACCTGCAACTCAAGATTGGCCTGTATCTTTCTCGAAATCTCACATGCCGATTTCATACGGCCAGGGCTGGAACTGATCAAGTGACGTAGAGCAGTAAACATGGGGTATAATGCGGCCCAATTGAAGCTAGATGAATACACGCGTATCAGCTTCGCTTCATCATCTCGCACTTCCAACCCACGAAGTTCAGGAATCACGAAGAAGTTTGAATCTTGCTCCCACTCAACTTCCACATGCCCTTTGAGAAGAGATCGATTCTCAAAATGCTCGTACGAATCTTGCAAGGTTTTAACTCGAAAGACGTAAGTCTGGTCCGCACTGAGCTGCCACCCTACACGATCAGCATGAGTACCAGGAACCTGATCACAAATTGCACGAAGTCGAATGCTGTTAGG